TTAGCCAAGTAAATTACATTTAGCGCACAGTCCAACACTCAGGACTTAAAACACACCCAAAGCAGGGCTAAGGAAAATCTGACCCCAAAGCTTAGAGAATATCAGGAAGCATACATAAGGGAACATAATGACTCTTGCTTTGCCATACTCCCATTTTGCTAAACTATTATGCTTTTGAAAGAATACTTCCTTTAGATAAAAGGGGAAAGTTGGACTGAGTTGGTTAAATGAAGAAGAGACTAAGTTAACCTGATGAATAGGTGGTAACCAGTAAAAATTTTGCCCACCTATGGAAAATGACTTCTAGGATTTTTCTCCTTTTTACCTTTTTTAAAAAATAATTTTTTTTTTTTTAGTTGGAGTCTCACTCTGTTGCCCAGGCTGGAGTGCAGAGTGGCACACTCAAGGCCACCCTGGCGTCGACCTGCTGGGCTCCGGTGATCCTTTTGCCTCAGTCTTCCAAGTAGCCAGAACTACAGGCACACACTTCCATGCCCAGCTAATTTTTGATTTATTGTAGAGATGAGTTCTCACCAAGTTGCCAGGGTTGGTCTCGAACCCACGGACTCAGGCAATACACTCGCCTCGGCCTCCCAAAGCACGGGATTACAGGCTGAGCCACTGAGCCCGGCCCAATTGGTTTCTTCCAAAGATTTATCCTAAGAAATAGCCTGTTAGAAATACTGTGCTCTGGAGAAAAAAATGATTTCTCTTGGCAATTAATAAGCCGAAATAATATTCAATGAGAAAATCCTCTTCTCTAGGGGGTTTTGCTCTTACCGGTATAGAAATGCATTGTAAATGTTCCCTCCCTGTCTTCACCCCTAAAAGTACACTCACCGTGGACACGTTTTCTCTCCAGAATAGAGACATATAAAAATTATTTAAGCACTGAAGACCAGATGTTTATACTAGAGAATTAGACTTTGTTTAGACATGTTAGGACATTTTGAAAGACAGGAATTGACAGTCAACTCTAATAATAATTTTTTAAAAGAGATTATAATGCTATTTGATTCTGCAAGAGTACTTTTCATCACAATGAAAAATAAGACTATATACTCTAGGTGGGAAGAAATTAAAATGTCCTATTTAGTGGAACCTATCTCACGACCATCCACACTTTCCAAGTATAAAAACTTGGCAAGCACTTTCAAAGAATTAAAAAACAACCTTTTTAAATGACTGAGAAATTAGTGGCCAAAAATATGTGTTGTGATATACAGATATGCACTTTGCCACTGCTAAATCAGTTCTCAGTTCTCATAGGATAGCTAAGATCCAGAGTAGTTCCCCTTTTGTGTATGATTTCAGTCTCTAATCTCTAAATTTTGTGGCAGTTAAAATATATTCCATAGATGCTGTTGAGGCTAAGTTAATTTTAAACAGCAATCTTTTATTGGGACAGGGGGAAGTAGAATTGAGTCTACTATTTATTTCCCTGTTCTCTACAAATGCCTTAATTGCTCCTTTAGTGCTGGCTTTATGCATTTCCATCACAGGACAATCAGGGTAAATGGCTATGCTGTGTGTCTTGTGTTCCACTTTTACAGTTCTCTAACCATATTAAAATTGAAACCGAAAGCACAGATAAAAGCAAGGAAAATATTAATTCACTCTTCCATGTGCTGGTCTCACCTAGTTATTCTACTTAGATTTTTAATTTATGAAATATACTGCAATCCATATTTTGTTTAATTTAAGAGTGATCTGAATTTTTATTGCATTACTGAGTAGCCTCTTGTTCATCTAAGCCTTTATTTTAAGAAACACTATTAGGTATATATACCTTTGGTATACCCTACAATCCAGGCCATCATGCTGAAACATAGGAAATGAGGTCATTTGTGTCAGAATTATCTTCCTAGCATTGTCGAAATTTCCCTAGCTTATAAATTCCTTGGATTTCAAATAAGATAGTTTTGTTTTTTTGGAGACAGTTTAAGTCACACCAGTTCTGCCAAGCCCCAGTTGTATTTACTTCTCTGAAACCTAGATCATAATATTGTTTGCCATAGTGATACTTTACAGCAAGTCAAAAATATAAGGGATAATTTATTTCTAAATATGTTGTAAGTATCAATTTAGAAAGTTTTCTTTGCTTATATCCTTATTGTTTCATTCTACGACTTGGTCAAGATGGTGGAAACCAGCCATAACTCATTCCCAGAATTTAAAATGTCAAGAAACCTATTTTCTCTGTAAGATAAAGTTTTTAGAACTTGTCCCACTTCTCTGACATACCTTGACATAGTCTCAGCTTTTCAGAGTTATTTTTTATGACTACAATACATGAAATAGACATTTCGGTTGCTCAGAAAGATTAAATGGCCTGTTAGAGGATAATATTTTGGAATTTGAGGCTATCAAATATAATATTCCCTAAAGGGAGGAATAATTTTTATTATTGCAGTTGTGGTAGGTGAGGAATATTATGGCACTGTTTCAAAAAATTTAAATAGAAATTGGGGTATAGCATAGAGATGCAAGCACCTTGGTCTTTTCTTGGTTCATTTGCATATTGTACAGCTTATAGTACTATATCACAAATCCTATGATGAGTGAAATATTACATGATGTGGAGAGAAGCTAAATTGAAACTGGCTTTTATATGTGACTTCAATTTGGTGTAGACCCTAGAAAAATAAACATGTTCTATGTAAATTATTTTTATTGCTAACTTTCCTGGCTGTTTATTATTAATGTGTCCTACCTGTGCACAGTTAAGCCAGTCTTTGATATTCCAAATATAAGCCTGTTAGCATCACATTTTTAGAGAGAGTATAATTTATCAGCTGGGATATATTTCCAAACATATGTTCTATAATTTCATCTTTGATGTGTGCATTCCATAATGCAACATCATTCTACACAGAACTGCTAATTACTAAAGCTACAAACTTGATATATTTCTTAGATATAAGCCTCTCTATCCATAGAGAAAAATTTCACGCTTATGATCCTCTCTTGGAATAATTATCACAAAGTTACCATTATGTTTTGACATTTAACACTTCCTGAGTAATGTGTATTTCTTTTCTTTTCTTGCACCATCTTTGCTCACAATCTCAGATTCCTGAATAAAAATGAGACAAGTGGACTGCCTCGATTTCATTTTCTCTGCCCAATTATTTTTTAAACATGTTATTACCTCCTTCCTTTTAGTATTATAGAAGCAATAAACTCATTATGAATATCATATATAAAACAAGAAAGCATGCTATATACATCACTTTTCATATTCAAACCATTGTACATCAACTAACTTCTTTTCTCTACCTTAACGGGAGGTAGTTGGTAAGTATTAACCTCCCTTTATGGCCAAGGGAACTGAGGTAACATTTAGATGTCAATGAAGAATCCATTCCTATGAAAGCTTTGCTTGGTATTAGGAGAAACTTGTTTCTATTTTTGTGCATACAGTTATTGCATACTCATTCCAATTTAAGAGATATATATTATGATGTAGAGTTTATAAGGAGATGTCCTTTCAAATATGCCAGCAACATAGTCTGGACTGCTTATCAGAATTTACTGCATTGTTCCTTGGGGGTGATTTTCCATCTTCATAAAAAGGTCATCTATGTTACAAGGTTGTATACGTATGAGGGTATTGTACATTGATCTTTTGAACTTTATATTCAGGAGAGCAAGAAAGTTTACAAACATTTGTTTTGGTATTCTTTATGGGATTTTGTTATGGTGTACCCAAAATGGTGTAATTACATCCCTGTTTCCTAAAAACTTTAGTGAACCCCATTTTGGGAATCACATTGATCTTCTTCTAGTGGAAATGTAAGACTTAGAAAAAATGAAAGATGTGACTGTGTCAACTATGTGATGATTAATCAGTTGTCAATACAAAAGGGAAACATCTGATTGCCTGTCTTACCACCAATTTCTCTTCCTACCACTCAGCGAGGTATTTAGGTAGCTCATTTTTTTTTAATGAAATAGACAGATATAGTCTTCCTTTTTTCTGGACAGTTGCTGATTCTGGATTTCTCTGTGGAATATTTTACTCTAAAAACTATTTGTAGATGACTCTCCTTTTGCAAAGGCAAAGCAGAAATTAATTACTCATTAACCAAACAATCACATTGGCATCATCCACAGAATTACAATGTCCTCTGGGGCACAGTATATTTCTTGTTTTCACCCCCACTCCCATTGTAAATACCTATTTACATGCATGCAGAATGAAAAAGGTCCATGGGCCCATGTCAGTATTTTCAGCTTCAGCCAACACTAAAATAGCAACCACTTACAGTCATTTTTGCGTATAAAAGACACACATACACAGTGAATTTGGGGGGAGCAGGTTATTTCTTCTATAAACTGCGCAGTATGTTTCAATGCAGTTATGTGATATTGAAGCTCCTGAGTTGTAATGATAGCCTGACTACTTTGCCAGCCTTTAAAATCTAAAACCACTTGTTAAAACATTTAATTGTCTACCCATGTGACTATTGATTTACTCAGTAGTCACAGAGACTTCAGGCTGCAAACATGTGTTGAATGTGCCCCTTCACCCAAATAAATTCTGTGTCTGATGTGTTTGATATTTGTCCATCTTATTTTCATTTAAATTGAGATTTCAAAGAGGTGTTCCCATCCATGTGATAGAGTTGTTCGTGTTTGTTTGTCACCACCTTTTCCCTTTCCCTTGGAAAACAAAAATTGAGATTAGATCATGACATTTTAAACCTTTTGGTGGTTTCCAAACCAGGGGTGTGATCGAACCAATGTTTTCTGAATGACACACGTGGCAATAGTGATTGAAAACAGAATCTCAATTTTGGCAGCCTGGGGCTACAAAGCCTTGTCTCGCCTCCCAAACCTTTGAAACCCCCCATCCCAGGGACTCTTTCCCAGCCATCCTTCAAAGATGACAGTATCTTTGAAGTGAATGTTTCATAAAGTGACTTTGGCTAACACCCACCAGAGGATGGTCTTCTGTACCCGCTCTAGGGTGCACTAACACTGTTGATGCTCGACAGGGTGGCAAGCATACAGAGTGAGCCTGGCCAACAGAACCTTCTCGTTCAGCAGCCACTGGGAAGAAAGAGGGGCCTAAGGCAGGTAAGCAGACTCCAGAGGGGCAAGAGAATCAGCCTCTCCATGGAAACTTGAGTATTTCTTAATGCCCATGTTTATTAATATTATATTTCACTGCTGGGCATGTCTGAGAGGCAGGAGATCATTTGTTGAGCCCAGAAGTTTTAGTTCAGCCTGGGCAGCACAATGAGACTCCATCTCTAAAAAACTAACTAGCTAAATAAAACAATATGTTTTTTTTGAAAGATTGTATTTTGACTTCTCTTTACCTGAAATAAGCAGTACAGAACAACTTTAAAATATGGTAAGTGCTTGGCCAAGCTGAATGTTGTGAGTTTCTATTTTAGCTCTGAATCTTCTTATTAGCAAAGCTGATTACGTATTAAGTGAGCCTATAATTCTATCGGCTCCCTATCCAGAAACCTTCTTTCCCAGCCAAACCTACTGACAGGAAGATTTGTCATGCGGTTGGTTTTTCTTTTCTTTTTTTGAGTTGGAGTCTCACTCTTGTCGCCCTGGCTCGAGTGTGTGGCATGCTCCCAGCCACCATAGCCTTGACCTGCTGGGCTTAGGTGATCCTTCTGCCTCAGCCTTCCATGTAGCTGGAACTACAGATACACGTCACCACGCCCGGCTAGTTTTTTTGTGATTTATTGTAGAGAAGAGGTCTCACCAAATTGTCCAGGCTGGTCTGGAACCCCCGGACTCAGGCAATCCTCTCGACTCGGCCTCCCAAAGTGCTGAGATTATAGGCTGAGCCACCACAATTGGCTTGTGCAGTTGTTTTAAGGTCTGTTTCTGCCTAGAAGCAAAGACAAAGCAGTTCTTTCTTTTTTATTTCAAGATTAATGATGTAACTTAAATCATTTAAAGATCATCTTCACAGATTTCCTAAGGTGGAATTTTCACGTTACTTTCTAAATAAAAATCTGAATAAGGCTTTGTCCTGTTGCTTTGACAGAAGCTTCCCAGCGTTGATTCAAGTACCAGACACTTGGCCAGCGTCTGAGGTTTTTTAATAAAAACTCTTTTGAAAGTTAGTGTCCATTCAACCGCAAGTTTTCAATGAGTAAAGGTTGACTACTGGCAGTGGGCAATAGTTATTAGTGTTAAATTCACAATTTAGGTTATGTTAATTCATTGTCTTAATATACATAAAGGAGTGATCATTGAAAGATGCATTGGTTAAAGGGGATGCCACAAGGAAATGCTTTTAATTAAATGTACAGAAAGAAGTTTATCAGCTACAAATGTAAGAACAACCACAAGAGTCCACAGAAACATATAAAGAAACAAACTAGATAAGTCAGAATCCTGTGAGCATAGTACTTCCTCCCAGGTGGTTAGACCCTCTTGCAAGTTTTATTCTATTCTCTTTAGCTAAGACGTCCTCTATTGTCACGTCAGAAGACTCAAACTGAACCCAGAAACCGTCACGGGGCTCGGCTATCAACCACTCGCAGAAGCATTCAACCTAAAACAAAGCCTTCTGGTGAGGCCTCATGTATCCCTCTTGACTGTACCACTGACACAATGCCATGCAACGTAACCAGGAAAGCCTACAAAAACCAAGCTGGTACAAATAAGCACTCCTTGGGGAGGTACTAAGATAAGGAAAGAAGTTTCCCTGAAAACAGTAGGGCCTTTTTTTCCCCCTTGCTTTCCCCAACCCCATGAACCTGGGGAAATGGAAAAGCCCAAGGTATACCACTAATGATATGAAATTTGACTAGAGTGGGTTGTCTCTACCCCAGCCAGGAACTGGATTTGTTATATGTCTCAGTGCAGATGAAGGTATGATGAAAAATAGAACTTTTAAGTCCTGCTGGCAAGTGCTGTGAGGAATAATCAAGTTCACCTGATGCTCTATGTAAATCTTGTTTTAGGCCATTTATGTAAAAGTTAATTTTATACCCAAGTCCTACTTCTTATAAGAAGGTGAAATCAAACATGTACAAAATGGGCAAACATGCTCTCATTGATTAACAAGCCAGCAATGCCTTTATTAAGAAAACCCAGAAGACAATAGTTAAAACCAATCATTAAACACTGGTAGTCTGTTTCCCCCAATTTCCCTACTGACAGCCTCTCCTCTGACCTGCAGCGGATCAGAAACGATCTGTGACCTTCATTGAGGCTCAGCCAGAGCCAGCAGCTGCCCCAACAGATGTGCTTCCTGCCACAAGCCAGCTACAGGGCTGCAGCCCAGCCCCATCTAGGAAATCAGAAGAAATAGATGAACCAGTCCTCACTTCTTCCCCCGCCATAGTTGTTGCAGATCTCCACAGCCTGTCTTCCAAGCAGGTAAGGACAAAGCTTGCTCCCTACATACTTATCCACTTGGATCCTCTTGGATATGCAAATTTATTTCATATAATGAAGCCCAGGTCTGGAAGGCTTTGTTATCCAAACAGATCCTGCTCCATCATGAAAAATAAATCTATATAAAAATAAGTGGCCCAGAATGTCTCTACTTAAGAAAAACCAGGAGAAGTCTTGGTATTTTTAGCTATGAAAAGCCTAAGAGAAAATACTTCACAGCTGAAATAAATATTGAAAACAGGTATAGGCAAGTTGAGTGACCATAATCAGAAAATCAGAAATCTGAAATTCTCTAAAATTCGAAACTTTTTGAGTGCCTATATGATGCTAAATGTTCATGCTTAAAGAAAATACTCTGAAAAAATCCGAAATATTTCTGGTTCCAAATATTTCTAATAAGATATAGTCAACCTATAATATATAGCCGAAAGATAGTTTAATTAAAAAAATAGTTACCGTTTTAGATGGACCCTTTACATATAGAGCTTCTGTGTCCTTTAAGCTGAGAGGAACTTTTTAAAAATCATTTTTCTCGTTGTTTTGATATTTTTCTTGTTGCTTTGATAATCTTCCGATTTTTATAAATGAATTCCTATAGTTTCACATAGTTCTCATATGGTATTTAGAGAAAACTAAAGGGCAAAATTACCGTACACATTTGAATAGTCTTTAATGGTTAAGAAGAATTTTAACACTTACCATTATCTCATTTGATGCTCACAGTCTATAAGGAAGCAGAACAAAAAATTATGTTTATGTAACAGGCTAGAAAACTTAAAGAGTTATTAGGGCTAGTATAAGATCCTACCTATTGCAAAGGTTAGAACTGGGACTAACCTTCTGAATCCTTGTCCAGTTATAGCTAAACAGCAATTTAAAAATATTTTTCTTTGGTACTCATTCTACCTTTCAATTACGTCATAATCCTTTTTCTTATAGAGTGAGACCCTCCCCACTGAAGAAGGAGAAAAGAAGGAAGACACGGAAGTACAAGGTGCCACAGCCCACAGTCCACTCTCTACCCAACTTTCAGATCCTGATGACTTCACAGGCCTCGAGACATCCAGCCTCCTGCAGCACGGAGACACTGTCCTTCACATCAGTGAGGAAAATGGCATGGAGAACCCCTTACTGTCTAGCCAGTTCACGTTTACTCCTACAGAGCTGGGAGAGACAGACATAGCCCTAGACGAGTCTCATGTTTAAATCTGTATCTTACCTTATAAGGTGTAGAGAAAGCATGGACAAAATCCCTCTGCTAAATGTTGAATACTTTCGCTTGAAAAATATTACTTACAAAACAGCACTTTACATCCCGTCCAATGGATGGCACAAATCTGAGTAGATTTTGTAGCCAACACACATAATGATTCATACACATCTTAAAAATCAATGGCTAAGAGGACTTAGTTCTGTGAAAACCATAAAAACCAGGGAGGAATAAGGGAAAGAGCCATTCCACTGCACATTGTTTGTGATTCAAGAAGCCTTCAGCAGTTAAAAATATATACTATTCGTTGCTGCTTTCATAGAAATATTAACAGATAATATGTTCTAAAAAGAGAATGCAATTTTTTGAGATTACTCACATTATACATCTCATGCAAAGGTTTATTTTTATAGTTTTGAAAATATTAAATCAGGTGGCTATACAAATAGCAACTTACATAAAAAGAATCAATAAGACAAATGTTTGTTGGGGAGGACTAAATAACTAAGAAACCTGCATCCATTGTTGTTTTGATTAACAATGCAGCCATTAAGAAGAAAAAAATTATATTTAGAGCTGTGAACTTTTCAATATTTATTTTTCAACTGTCATTTTCATTGCATGTTGTAAATCAAAATGCTAATACCATGAGATTATTCCATTACATAACCGACCACATTAGACAGAGAATATTCTAGAAGTCATCAGACATAATTTTGAATTAAGAAGGACCTAAACAGCCTATACAACTCTAAAAACTAAATGTAAATATAATAGCTTAAAAGAGATGGTTTTCCTCCTTCTAGCCCTGATTACATCCATGCCAAGATGAGGAGATATTGGGAAACTAATAACTTTTCCTTACAGTATCCTGTGCCTGCCCCTCAGGGCATATCTTCAAAAAATACTAAGGTTAGTGTTGTTAGAATTGATTCAGTAAAATAACTCTTTCTCAGTAGTAACACTAGTCTTATGATCCTTGGGACTTCTAAGTTTATGAGGAAAAAGTCTATAAAGTAAGCATTTTCTTCATAGACACAGCCTGCTTGTATGATTTACTAATAGGCCTTTAACATGAAGTTTGATTACTTCAGAAAAGTATAAAATTTAGAAGGCTTGTGAGGCCAATACCTAGTGTGTTATTGATCCTGTGGTAGGGCTGGACATTATATAGTTCAAAATTTTAACAATTTACGTTAGAAAAACTGTTACATAACACCTAACCATAAAAAAACTCAGATAATACCTAAATTGGGATAGTGGTCTGTGTGTGCCTGTGTGTGTGTGTGTTTTAGTCCTCAATTGTCATTATATATACACTTTGACTACATTGTGATGAGTTGAAAACACATTCTTTATTCTTAAACTTTGACTATGTTGGCTGTGAGATGTGTATGTGTAAAAGAGGAGACCTATTAAACCCACCCTAATCATAAAGAAAAATTATTTTGCTAGAATTGCTTATTAAATAGGCATTGTTTATATTGTGATTTATAATTTCAACTGTAATTTGGGGTTATGGTCTCATTCACTAAGAGAATGATAGATGTTTGTGAGTTAGAGATAAAAGAGCAAACTAAAAGTTTCAAATCTAACAATTTGGAAGATCAAGGAGGTAAATGGCCTCTTTTATGTTTAACAATATTTTCACATCATTTACACTTAATGCTGAATTAATTCTCAAGTGCAGAAATATAAAGGTTAAGCAGTTTTATGACTCCAAGCTGATCTATTCACCTGTTAAAAATTATGCTGCTCAGTTAGCATTAGAGGCCTTATGTTTGGTAATAACCAATGTCTTGGCTATGTGAGTCTCTCTCTACATGTGTGCTTTTATCCAGTTTCTGGATTCTTGATTTAAATTATTTATGTATAATTGTATCAAATATTTAAAAAGCAAAGGGGTCAAAGAAGATTGTTAAATATCTAACAAGAATCCTAAAAACCTTTATGCATATATTTTAAAAGTATTGGGATGTTTTGAACACGATTATGCTGGTCTGTCTGCCTTTTAGCCTGACTCCTTCACCCTAGTGTATGGAAGTCTATTAGAAACCTTCGATAAGCTAAGTAATGTTGTATCTCGCAAAAAAGCCTCCACTCTGAGAAGCAGGGCCTTATAGAGTGGAAATGTTTCATACTGGGACTACTGAGATTTTGCAGATGTGTGCATCTGTCCCATTTAAGGTGCCCTTAAATGTGTTGAATGTAATGTGTTGAATGTTTATGTGTAATGGTTAAAGTATCTACATGTATGTGCATAAGACTGTCACAAGATGTATTCTCAGGAATACTGTTACCTGGAGTTTGAAGAAATAACTACTTAAAAAAAAAACAGTTGGGGAAGATTAGAAAAAACTTCAAGATAATTGGTGAAATGTTCAAAATATTACTGAGCACATGACTAAAAGCTAATTAATACATATGAAAAATGCAGTATTGGTAATAATAGATCATTTTTTAAGCTATGATGCTTAATGATATTTATCTTATTCAAAGGAAAAATAAAACACACACCCACTTCTCATGTATAAACAACTGGGCTCAACAAAGAGGTTACTTCTGAAATCAATTTTTGAGAGATCTTGAAAAAACCATGTGCCATCCATGATAGTGGGTGTAGATTTACACGACTTAGATCCAGTCCAGTTAAACCAGTTGAAATCCTGGACACAGCATTTTACTTTCATCTTCCAGTAGTTGCTGCTTTCAGTAATTCTATTAGATAAGTGATTTGCTTTTTCTGAAGAGGAAACTAAGGTTATTGAATGCACCAAGACAAGACACTTAGAGTGCTAGTGTCAAAAGGCAAAAATGGGCATGGCGATGCTGGTGGAAATATCTGTGGTATTGGTAGTTCGGTGAGGGCCTTTGGCCCAGGCTGAGAGTAGCTGATTTGCTATTTCAAGCCTCCAAGAGTACCTTAGGTAGTGTGACGGCTCCTCTCTTCTTTGGCGTTTGTTCCTTTAGTCAATGAAGGACTTTCTCCACACTGCTGCCCAGCTTTGAGAGTATCTGAGATGAGAATAGAGTGTGTGTAGGTACCTATAGGGAAGAAAGGGTCAAAAATGAATAAATATTACAGTCCAAAACATGAATTAAATATCCTTCCTCAAGTGATACAGGATACTGCAATAGAGTCCAGTCTCTGGAATTTGCTGCTATCACACCAACTCATGCTGTTGCCCTGTGACCTCACACTTCCAATTTCATGGCCTTGTCTTGGCAGTGAGTTAAAAAAGTCCCACTTCCTCACTTACTTTAGTGGGTCTCAACTGCAGCATTTCAGAAACAGACTTTGATTTGACACTCAGGAGAATACAAGACAGTTGAGAACAGAGTGCATTTGGAAAAGCTTAAGATAAATTTATTTATATTATTTTAGGATCATTTAGGATTACAGATCAATGTACCTCCATGATATTTTTAAATAGTCACTGTGAACACAGGATGCAAATCCTTTATTAGCCATTTTGTAGGTAAAAACAAAAGATTGACTACACAGCCAACTTCCCTCAGATAACTATAAAATCTATTATAAGTACTGAATAACCAAAGAACATGGAAAAATACATATGAATACTGAAACATTTATGAAAGATATTTATGAAAGATATTAAGACTTCTGTGTTTGAATATGCACATATAATAAAATAAATCTAAAAAGCATTTAGATGCCTAAGTTTCATTTCTTAATGTAGGGAGTAAGTTAACTCATGTAGAAAGATGTTCTTTTTGGGTCCCTGGGGTCAGCCTTTGTTAATGTGCTGCTGTTCCTCCTCAACCCCCACCAGAGTCTGGCCTGGAGTCATCATCCAGTTAGGTACCTCCAATTTCCTTTCTCTACCCCCAACTGAGCTCCATTCTACTCAGCTTTCCAAATCTACCTTTCAAAGTAAAGCAGAATGGGTACAATGGGAGACAGAAACCCCAATTTAACTTTTCTGCCCTGATTATGACCTGCTGGAACTGGTAGATTTCCCACTGGGAAGGTTAAGACCTAATTGTCCTCACAATGTGGCCAGAAACACTATGTGGTCCAAGTTACCAGCAGTTCTGTGTTTTATACAATGGGCCCTATCCTTACCCTCTAAGGGTTGGACTTGCTAAATCCATTTTTTCTCCTCATGTGATTTTACTGCTGTCTCTTTCCCTATGACCCTAGACACATTTGGCAGTGGGACACTTACCCATATCTGGATTGTGTCTGTACTGTACAAAAATGTATCACAGTTTGCAAATGAGCATTGTTGGGAGGTATAGGGGTCAAAGAAAAAGTTCCCCTTCATCTTCTGAAGGTTTGCTGAAAACCAACAAAAGACACAGGAGAATGAACGAAGACCTAAGGATACAGTGGAAACTACCATCCATTTTTACACTTAAGTTCAACAAAGTATGGACAACTGTGTAGAACACAGAAAAAGGTATGTTCTAATCCTAACAGACTGAGTGGGAAAACCAAGCAAGCCTGTCGGTCTGTTTTGATTCTTCTTGGTCTCTTTGTGTAGCAATCCGTCTGAAAGGATAGATCCCTAAAATGGAGTTTCTCCAGTCACCGTGAGTGCATATCGACAATAATTCTTACCCAGAACCCTGGGCAAGTCACAAGATGTTAAGATTAACATCTTTGTTCCAAGAGTTTGCCTCCCAGCTACCAGCCAGCCTTTGTCTGTATGCTCATAACTGGCCCATCCATCACCAGCCCACCCTTGCCTATGTACTTGGAACTGACCCACCCATCTATCAGGTTGTCAGAGATACAAGAAACAGGCCCTATCACCATGACACGTAAGCTCCTGTGAAAGCTTGCCTGCCCACCCCACCCACCCCCCACAAAAAAAGAGAAGCTTTGAAAGCTTTCAACCTCAAGCATTCTCTGCCAAACATTCCTTAAACATCTGCCCCCCTCCCCAATCTTAGCAAAGTGGAGCCACCCTTTTTCTCTGATTTTTTTGGGGGGGAGGGTTGGAGTCTCACTCCATCATCCAGGCTGGAATGCAGCGGTATGCTCATGGCCACCCCAGCGTCGACCTGCTGACCTCCTGGGATCCTTCCGCCTCAGCCTTACAAGTAGCCAGAACTACAGGTGCACGCTACCATGCCCAGCTGATTTTTTATTTATTGTAGAGCTGTGAGGTCTTGTCAAGTTGTCTGGGCTGGTCTTGAACCCGTGGGCTCAGGCAATCCATTCGCCTCGGCCTCCCAAAGTGCTGGGATGACAGGCTAAGCCACCAAGCCCGGCCTAATCTACCTTTCAAACAAGCTTTTTCTGACCTACAATTTGTGCATTGCACCCTTCCTGCGGCACAGGCTCACTGACCTAACACCCTCCTTCTGGGCTTGGGAAAGGACCCTCTCTAGAATGGCCACCTTATGACCTACACAAAAGCAAGGTAGAACATTTAATTTCCTAATGGACGGTTTTTACATAGAAAGGGGGAAGTTAGAATAACATTCTTAGGTTTTATGGCTGGTTTCAGGGAAAGGGGGTTCAGGTTTCAATTTCCCTCTTGAGGGAAGAGGGATGCTAGTGTCTTACACTAGCCTCTGGAGAGAATGAGAGAGAGGGACAGGAGGGCTGAAGGTCAGAGAAAAACTTCTGCTTCTGGGACTTTCATTTGGGGGTGTCACTATATAAGCCCCAACAGAGAAAACACAAAAACAAAAAGAAAGGGAAGAACAGCAGAAGCAGAAAAGAAGGGTAAAAATGATTCCCAACACCATTTCATACTGAGCATCGTGCTGGGCACATTTACCTGAATTCTCTCATTTAATCCTCACAGCCCTGACGCTGGCCCTGCCACTGGAGAGGAAAAAAACCAAAGTAAGGAGGAGTGACTTGCCAGGTTCCCCAGCTAGTGTTATAGTCTGAGTCACGTTCAGCTGTTCTCCCTTAATACTGATAAATTAAGGGGCAGGGAACTGGTAGAAAGAAGTTTATTTCTCAGTTGAATCCAGGGAGCAAAGCTGGACTCGAGGTCTTCCTAAAATGGTTCTGCTCGCCCTCTAGGCCTTTACAGCTCACACGTATAAGTCCAGAGTTGTTAGTCCCTAGACATTAGCCACGTGACCAGCAGAGCACTGTATGGAACTTGAATTTCAGTCACATGTATTGATAGTGACATTTTTCAGTCCAGACTTCCTGGTGCCAGGTATCAGAGGTATCAGCTTTTATCAGTAGGGCCCGACAGAAGCGGTAATCAAGCTTGCCACAGGTTAAAGGGAGTTTACAAGGTAAGACACCATGCATTAAGCAAAAGTTATACAAATCCCAAGGCCTACGATTACATTGATACTACATTAATCAAACTTATGACCACCCAGAGAAAGGGAGTAAATGGGGATTTGCGTCTTTCAGTTGATTGGGCGTACACTACAAGGAAGTCAAGGATCCCAGGAAACCACTTCCTGGGAGTGCCTAGGAGATGTGGGGACTCTCAGTAAAGTGCTCAGGAACACATCTCTCAGTTTTTTGGGCAGTCTGCAGAGAAGTGGAGGATCCTTTGACGTTGCTTACTGGGAGTGCACAGGAGATGAGGGAAAGCACACCTTGTACAAGCTCTTGGGAATGTTGTTCAGGAGTGTACAGGAGCGCTTGAGCCCTCGCCATGCCCTTCTCTAGGGGCTCTGGCAACATGGACAGACATGAGCAGGTCTCTGTATCACTAGCACCTGGCAGAGCCGAGACTGTTTTAAAGGGCAAATCCAGGAGCCGGAGAGGAAAAGAGGAAGGCAGGGCAAACGATGGAGAAACAAAAGGTGAAGGGACGACAGGCGTGGAGGAGGGGACTACGGGAGGAGTAATGCGGAAAAAAGCTTAAGAAACTCCCGGAGCGGGGGAGGATCCGGGACACCCAAAGGGGTAGCAACCAAGGTCAGCAGAAGGAGGGAGCGGGTCCCGCCCCGCGCCGCGACTGGCAGCCCCGCCCCCCAGCGTCAGGAGGCGGGACTTCCTCCCCCGTAGGGCCGCGACTTCCGGCAGAGTCCGGAAGCTCTGCGGAAGAGGGGCGGAACCTAAGCTGCGCGCCCAATCGGTTGCGACGCCTTCGTCCTGCCGGGCGACTCGTGGGATAGCTCGCTCTCAGGCACCAGCGCTATGGCGTCGGGCTGCAAGATCGGCCCGTCCATCCTGAACAGCGACCTGGCCAACTTGGGGGCCGAGTGCCTCCGGATGCTAGACTCAGGGGCCGATTATCTGCACCTGGATGTAATGGACGGGTAACTCCTCGGGCTCGGGTCGAAGGGGCCGCGCGGGGGCGGGACCGGCGCCTGTTCCGGGAGTGCCTGTTGGACGTCTCGCGTCCCTGGCCCCCCGAGCGCCTCGCTCCGAACGCGGTGTTGGGGGGGCGCCCTGAAGGCCGCGGCGGG